GTACATGGCAGCGAAAAAGGAAAAGAGATGCTGCACGCTTATGTGTGTCATAAGCGATGCCTTCACTGGGGAGAAAGAGGTGGCTGAAGGGCACGGGGGACTTCTGGGGGTCTTTATGTTCCTTCTTGGTCTGAGTGGAATTTTCTTTTCAGTGCTGGAGGTTGAATCCAGGGCCTTTGTGCTAAGCTACCTCTTCAGCCCTTTTTAAAGTTTTCATTTTTTCGTTTTGAGACAGGGTCTCACTAAGTTCCCCAGGCTGGCCTTGACTTTGGTATCCTCCTGCCTCAGCCTCCCAGAGTGCTGGGATGATAGACATGCACCACCCTACCTGACTTGGAATCTACAAGGCTATTGTCTCTGTGGTGATCTTTTGGGCTTGACTTTGGTGTCTCGTGTGCCTTTCTGAATGTGTTATACATCATGATGACAAAGCGAAGAACAAACTCACAAGCGTCAGGGTCTCATTTGACACGTGTGGGAACAAGCCTGGGTGACCGGGGTGCCCGGGGCTCCTGACAGGGGGCAGGAAACAGGACGGGAGTGAGAGGCTACAGTGAGTCACTGAGGGCCGGTGGCAGGCGTGGGCGGCAAAGGGCCGCTCCTCCCCTCAGCCCGACAGTTTGCAGGCAGCAGGGGCTGCCCCGGCCACCCCCGCTGTCCCCCGACCAGGGCGAGGCCCTGCTCTCCTGCCCAGTCTTCTGGGGAAGGGGTCTAAGTGGGCTGTACTGAGCCATCGCCTGGCGGAAAACACAGAGGCACTTCCGGGAAACCACAAAGGCACTTCCGGCAGGCAGCCCTGGCTTGGTCCTGCAGCCTGGCACTCTGCCCAGGGGTCAGAGGCCTGGACAAGTCACCTGGAGCACCCGGCCTCCTTGTAGGGGACAGCAGCCGGCAGCCCACAGCCTGGCTTCTTTCTCCTTCTCCAGGGGCCAGTGAACAAATCCCAAGGGAGACTCTTTTTCCTTCAGCTCGTATAACATTTTGTACTTACTATGTTTTAAATTTCCTGATTATAAAAAGTATTAAAGATCCTGTCTCACAGAAGAAAATGTGGAGGATAAAGAAAACATTAAAAAAAATTAGCAGGTTGGGTGTGGTGGTGTTCATCTGTAATCCTAGCACTCAGAAGGCGGAGGCAGGAGGATCGCCATGAGTTCGAGGCCAGCCTGGGCTACGTAGTGAGTTTAAGGCCAGCCTGATCTACATAGTGCGACCCTGTCCAAAAGAAAAAGAAAACGAAAAAGGAAGTGTGGGGGAAGCTGAGAATCTAGACGGCATGAAGGCCTTGAATTCAATCCCAGCACTAAGAAGAGGATGAGGCGGAGAAGGGGAGGAGAGGGGAAAGAAGTTAAAATCCCCCAAATGCTACTGCAAAGAGAAGGGCACTGGTAGCATTCTTGGATGCTCCCTGGTCTTTTAAAGATTACTACCTTTTCAAAATAAGTTGGGGACAGACTCCTTGGAGGTCAGCGTTACCTCCCCCTGCGCCTCTCCCTCCCCGCCCTCCCGAGGGGCGAGGCGCGCTCACCCCCAGCCCCCCGGGTCCCAGGAGGGGCGGGCGGCCCTGCCTCGCGGCCAAACCGCACTTCCGTGACATCCGACCCCGCGCGGCCGCTAAAAGCCCCGGTGGGCAGAAGGCACTTGGTTAAATTAAGTGCGTGCGGATCCGGTGGCCAGCAATTCCCCGGGGCCGAGCCGGCTCTGCGGAGGGGCAGCAGCCACGGCCGCAGGAGAACCGCGGGACCGACAGCGAGCGCGCTCCACACCGCTCCGCTGGCGCGAGCGAAAATCCACGCGCACAAAGAAGGGACCACAGCGTGCAAGGGAGGAGGCGGGGCCGGGGCTGCGGGCGGAGCTTGCTCCGCACCCTGGAGGAGACTGAGGACGGCCCTGCCCACCTTGGCGCCCCCGACCTGACCGGCCTTGGGCAGGCGCCAGGCCTCGGAAGGCGCCAGGTGCAGAGCTCCAGGATGGCAGGGCCCCACCTGTGGGCACTGAACCCAGGGTCTTTGCACTGAGCTACACCCTGGCCCTTTTTTATTTTTTATTTTGAGGCGGCATCTCACTAAGTCACTAAGCTGCCCAGGCTGAACTCAAGTTGGTGATCCTCCTGCCTCAGCCTTCCAGAGTGCTGGGGTTACAGGTGTGAGCCACTGTGGCAGGCTCATCAATGATTTTTTTGAGAAGTCCTCCGGCTTTGACTCCCAAGACCGTGCCCCCCTCCAGAGTGACAAATGTCTCCTCCTCACTGTGGGGACCCCTGCCGCCCCTGCCGTTTACCCAGGGTGGACAACAACAGCTCAGACACTGAGCCATCTTAGAGCCTGACTCCCGCCCTTGCTGCCCACACTGTCCAGGCTGGGGCTGTGGGCACAGGGGAGGAGACCCCTGAGCTGCAGGGCCCCCAAGGCAGGCGGTCGGGATCCCACCCACAGGCCTTTCCCTAGCGGCATCCTGAGCCCCTACTGTGTTCTGCAGACACAGCCGGGAATAGTTTGAAGCCCCTATCCCATGAGGTGGGTGACAAGAGGTCACCAGGCTGTGCCCTCCAGCGTTGCTTCTGTCCACGCAAAACCTGGACAGCCAGATGTGGTGGTGTGCGCCTAAAATCCAAGCACTCTGCAAGGCTGGCACAGGAGGAGGATTACCAGTTTGACCCCAACCTGGGTAACTTAGCAATTTAGCGAAATCTTGTCTTGGGCGGGGGGGGGGGCCCCTGGGGCTGGGGATGTAGTTCAGTGCAAAGGTCCTGGGTTCAATCCCTACTACCAAAAACAACAACCAACACCGCCTTGAACAGTAATGGGACTAATTGTTCTTTTCTGGTGTCACTTTTATGGCTGCATAGTATTTCCATGCACGGATGTCCTGTCTTTAGGAAGAGACAAGTTAAACGACAGAATGCCCATACCCGGGTGTACTATGCAGGCACACAAACGACACTAGAGAATAACTGATGCTGGGGAGAAAGGTGTTCACAGTTATGCTACTAAGTGCCCACAGTTCGGGACCAGTATAAAAAAAGCTGATTCCATTTGTCCTTAAAAAAAGAAAAGCAAATAAGCTGGGTGTGCTTGCATATACCTGTACTCAGGAGGCCGAGGCAGGAGGGTTGCTGACAGTTCAAGGCCAGCCTGTCTCAAAAAAAGCAAACAGTCCCGCTGCTAGCCTGGGCCCAGGGTGGGTGTGCATGGATCACCTGTGGCTGGGGACCTATGGCTGGGTTTTGTCTTTGTGTTTGCTTTTTTCCTTTGGTACCAGGGATCGAACTCAGGACCATGCACTTTCGAGGCAGGCAGTGGCACCACTGAGCTAAATCCCTGGCCCAGTCTCTGTGTTTGTACTCAGGTGTAGTTTCTAGTGTTTCTAAATTAATTTGTATTCATTTGTAATAAATAATTTAAAATGTATTTACATAAATGCAGGAAAGAGCCAGAGCATTAAAACAAAATGTATGTAGGCAGTCATTGTTTATGTCTAGGTGCTGGGACTGGAGTGAGGTTTTTTTAGTTGTTTTTTTTTTTCATTTTTGCATTTGGACAATTAGAAAGTATTACTTTTTTTTTTTTTTTTTTTTAGTTTTTTCGAGACAAGATCTTGCTAGGTAGTTCAGGATGGCCTTGAACTCACTATG